GCCTTCACTGTTGGTTGAACTGAATTTGTTCTTTAATGTCAGTGGAAAAATTTATATTCTCTATTCATTGGTAGCCATTTCATTTTGCTCTGAATAGTTGAGAAAGCAATTAATCATGTTTCCCCTTTTTAGAATTAGTCCCTCCATGTGGTCCTTAAAGAGATTAATAATTTCCTTGGAGAAACCAAGTTTTCTTTAAAAAAAAATTGTTAGCAACAATGGATTAGAACAGTGATCCTCCAAACAAAATATATAAACAGGCAAAAAACAGATGCACCAAAATATTTAAAAGAATTCACTAAAATGTTTTTATGAGAGAGAGAGAGAGAGAGAGAGAGAGAGAGAGAGAGAGAGAGAGAGAGAGGTCAATTAGAATAGAGCTGGAAGGCTCCTTGGAGGCCTTCTAGTCCAACCCCCTGCTCAGGCAGGAGACCCTATACAATTTCAGATAACTGACTGTCCAGTCTTTTCTTAAAAACCTCCAGTGATAAAGCACCCACAACTTCTGACGCAAGCTGTTCCACTGGTTAACGTCCTCACTGTTAGGAAGTTTCTCCTTAATTCCATGTTGCTTCTCTCCTTGATTAGTTTCCATCTCTTGTTTCTTGTCTTGCCTTCTTTGGAAAATAAGTTGATCCCCTTCTCTTTGTGGCAGCCTCTCAAATACTGGAATTCTGCCATCATGCCCCCCCCCCCTTAGTTCTTCTTTTCTTTAGACTAACCAAACCCAAATCCCGCAACCGTGCTTCATATGCTTTAGTCTCCAGGCCTTTAATTAGTTGCTCTTCTTTGCACTTTTTCCAAAGTCTGTGGTGACCAAAATTGGATGCAGTATTCCAGGTGTGGCTTTACTAAGGCTTTATAAAGCAGTACTAATATTTTATGTGTTTTTGATTCTATGCCTGTTTATACAACCAAAGGTTGTATTAGATTTTTCAGCTGCTGCCACACAGTGCTATACTTAAATAGTTTGCATGGACATGAGTGAGGACATTTTGTGTACAGTTTATGTATATATTTTGTATATGTACACACATACAACTTTTAATATCACACACCTACGTTGTACCTGTGTACATTTTTTATAAATTGAGATCGTATGATAAGCAATGTCAGCAAGACATTGCTGAGGAGAAAGAAAATAAAAGTATAACAAAATAATATTATAGTATGCTGCAAAATTTGCAAATGGGTTATAAATGGTCTGTAAAAGTATTTTTTTCGGCACTGGCATGACTTCAAACACTTGCTGAACATATGATCTGTAAATGAATGCTACCAGTAATCATTATAATCTCTTGATACTTTGGGATTTATATACTTTCTGAGATTCAAGGGAAAGTATTTTTTTCTTTAATGCAAATATAAGATATAGATAATACAAACAGAGTATGTTTTGCTCTTAATAAAATGTGACGTTTATTCACATAACACAATCTAAAATCCCCTCATTAAATGATTCAAAAAAGGGTATATGAATTTGTCAGGTTTATACCATGAGCTAGAGAATCGTGGGCTCTTTAAGTTTCTGGTGCATGTTTACCTTTGCATTTCTTTCTCATGCTTTTTTTTTAAAAAAAAAAAATACTTTGGCCACTAAAATGTTCCATTGTTGTAAAGTGTAAAACCAAAGAAAGTTTCAGAGGGTGAGCAAGCAAGTACCATCTGCAAACAAGCTTAACATATAGGATATTATCTTATATTTAAATTGATTTATTCTGGCTTGGTTTTCATTCTTTTCATTCTTTTTTATCTTTTTAATACAGTGGTTCTCAACCTTTTTAATGCCGTGACCCCCAACCGGTCGTAAGTTGAGTACTCAACCGGTCGTAAGTTGAGGACTACCCAACCGGTCGTAAGTCGAGGACTTTCCCTGCCCAGAAGTGCCACGCATGCGTGGCCGAGGCATAGCTGGCAAGGGGCAGCGACGGCGCAGGGCGACCATTGGCTGGGCCACCAGCTGGCCCAGCCCAAGGGAGGTAAGGCACCTGCCGGGCCCCACGCGCGCCAGCAACCCTCCCTGCGCCCGCCGGCCTCCCACCTCCCACCCCTGGCCCTCTTTTACTTACATTTTTAGTAGTTGCTCAGCAGGGAGGGGTGGAAACTTCCAGACAGCTCGCCTTCGCTGCAGACAACTTGCAGCACCGTTTGCAGAATGGGACTTTTGGCGGGCTCAGCCGGGCAGAGACAGCCTGGACAATTCCTATTGGCTTTTGAAAGCCAATAGAATTAGACTCTATTCAAGAGAGTCTATTCTATTGGCTTTCAAAAGCCAATAGAATAAAAGGGAGTAGCATAGCTAAGGAAAAGGGGGAAAAAATGGTGGACTGCGTTGTTTGGCGACCCCCGTGAAATGGTCGTTCGATCCCAAATGGGGTCCTGACCCACAGGTTGAGAACCACTGTTTTAGTAGAAGATACTGTGTAATATTCTAAAGTTCATTGAAAATGGATTGTTGGATGGGGTTTCTGCTTAGTAATTGACTAAAGAATAAGCTGAAATTTTAGTACCTCTAAAGCAGTGGCTCTCAACCTTCCTAATGCCATGACCCTTTAATACAGTTCCTCATGTTGTGGTGACCCCCAACCCCTCATCCAGCTGGCCGGGGGGATATAAAAAATTGACCAAAAAAAAGAGAGAGGAAAAAATGGGAAAGTATAGGTAGTCCTCGACTTACAACAATTCGCTTAGTGACTGTTTGAAGTTACAACAGCACTGAAAAAGTGAACTATGATCATTTTTCACACTTATGATTGTTGCAGCATCCCCAGGGTCATGTGATTTACATTAGGATGCTTGACAACTGATTCATACTTATGACATTCACAGTGTCCCAGGGTCACGTGATCAATGGCCAGAGGGTGTGACCCAAAAGGATCGCGACCCACAGGTTGAGAACCGCTGCTCTAAAGATTAAGAAACAGTTTTATTGCTTCTTGTTGTAAACTGAAATACAATCCTGATCAAATTTAGTAATTTGAAGAAACCTAATTTTATTTGTTGGCTCAAGTCATTTGTCATATATTGAAAAGATAATTCTATTTAACAGACTATTCTTCTCTTCTCTTCTGTTCTCTTCTCTTCTCTTGCAATTGGTCTAGAAAACAGCTTGTGGCATTTGTGGTATTGCTGATCATTTGTAAACTGGAATTGCACAGTAAAATTGGTCAAACTAGGCAGGTTTTTGGACATCTTTAATTTTAGAAAAAAAGGACCTCTTATTTTTAATTTGATGTTAACAATGAATCTCATATTGTTTCATATGGCTAAACAATTATTAACTGATCTGAATTAAGCTTCCTGTTTTTGTAACTTCTAACAAGGTGTGACTTGTAAAAATGTGTTTTGTTGATTTTATCATGTAAAGGGCAGAAGAAATATAAGCCAAATATATAAACTGTCAAAGTAAATAGTGCTTAAGTATCTTGTAATAGACAACTAGACGGAAGGAAAACAATTGATTATCATTACAGTGAAATCTCAGTGTGATGGCAGTTGAGATTTAGAGGTGGGGCAGGTTTTGCATCACAATAGCTGAAAACCTACAAGAAATAACAAATTTGTTATTTGTTTAAATAAAGCATATAATGTTCCTATTTCACATAACAGAATTTGTCACAAATAAGAAGGTAGGGTTACAGCTGCCATCACCTTGTTTGTTTTTGGAAGAAAATCTGATTACTCGTGGTATAGAATAAGATAGAATATGAAGAAAGCATACAATGTTTTAAGTTGCAGAGAACTTACATGTTGCTATGCTAATGTTTCAGAAAACCAGAAAACTTAACCTCAAGAAAAATGAGACTTCAACCAAATGTGGATTTAGCAGAACTAATATGATGATTATTGTTGTCATTATTTACCTGTATTTTGAAAACAAAATGTGAAGCTAAAGGGTTTTAGAATCTTAGAATCTGTGGGTATGATTTTAGGTAAATTGCAAAGAAAAAAACACAATTGCATTCTTGCATTCTTGCACTCTTCATGTTCATGTTCATATTCTGATATTTATCATCCACCTCCCAAGCCCATCTTTTTTATGAATATGCATGTTATTTAGAATATTTGTTAAATGCTGAGCTGACTTTATAGTCAACTTGTGTTTTGTATATTATTCAATTTATGTAGATACTTTCTGAACAATGTGTTGTTAGTGGAACTGAAATTCCAACAAGTTAGCCAGATTGCTTTTCCACTGCTATTTTCCCCCTAAAATTAAAAACATCAGTTTCCTGTCTATCCAGTGCAAATTTTAAACTGATCTTTTAGAGAGCTGTTCAGGGTTGTGAACAAGAGCACCCTCTTACTTTTTACCAGCTACTAGTTTAATACTGTAATAAATAATGGGAAATAGCCTATTTATAGTTTGTAATTTGGAAAATTAGTGTTTCCAAATTTGTTTAATGATAAGAAGTTGCCTACTAAGATACTAAGATGGAAAAATTCCTAACAAATGGTAGGATATTCTGGAATTGAGTCACATTTAATCAGAAAGGCAGTTGTATGCATCTGATTCATTAAGTAGTAGATGGTTATCATGGAATTGATGCATATTTTATAAGAATAATGAAGTTTGACATGTGTTGAACATATTTGAAAATGTATTGCAACCATTATTTTGGCTAGTAACACTCTTCAATAGAAGAGGTGCACAATTTAGAAAATGCCGTTGTTTTTAAATAGTTAAAATATCAAAACTAGTTCTTTTGAATCTGTTCAGAGATAGTTTGTTGAGCGTCAGTTCATTTCCAAAATAAATGTTCTAGGTACTGGTATCACTGGCTGATATGCTAACCATCAGTTGATGTATGACTTTTATTTTTTGGTATATATGAATTATTTCTCTGTGTACATAAATTATTGATTTTATTTAATGTGTAAAAACAAATAATTGAAAACAAAAATAAAAAAACACCATTAGAAAGGCCAGAAGAGAGATTGTTTGGGGAAGAAGTCAGCATTAAAACTGTTTACCAAATTCTTATTCCATTGTGTTTCAGAACCATGGTGCTATGGAGAGGAATTTATTTTGTACTTGCATTATTTTTGGGAAGTTTTTTTGGAAGCATCTTCATGCTTGGTCCCCTACTGCCACTGATGTCTATTTCCCCAGCTTGGTATCGCTGGCTTACTGATCGTGTTGTGGCCACTTGGTTTACACTTCCAGTGGTAAGTTGCTGATGTCTATACTTTATAAACTCCTCCCCACCCCACTCCATGTTCCAAAATAATATATTACTTGTGTCATGCCAGATAATATGCCTTAAAGCTCAGTGTAAAATGTTTAGGCAAAGCTGGCATAATAGCTTTGGATTGGTGAGTTAATGGAGACTATGCTACATATATTGGCTGAACATTGGTTGCAGAATTACTTTTTCATCACCGTCATAACTGTGAATGATCACTGTGTGAGGCAGAGTCAGTCCAGAAGGAACAAAAGTCTCTGAAAGATCAAGGAGATGTAGGATGAATGTATTGTCCCCATCCTATTTCCACTAGAAGATATCAACAAACACAAACAATGCTATTTGGTCCCATACTCAGAATTCAAACTAGACTGAAAGTGGTGTAGATGATTTTCCTTTTTTCAGGGTTCTCTGAAGCTACAGCATGGCCATTTTCTAAGCAAGTTTCCTTAAAAAGGGAAATTGGGGCTGAAAATTGTCCAACATAATCCAGCAGTAGCTTCTTGAGCTTTCTTTAAGTGTTGGTGGGGCCATCCTCTCTTTTAAGGATAATTCCCCCCCCCCCAAGGGTCAATAACATATTGTCTCCAAGCAAGCCGTGGCTAATCAGCAAGGTCATCACTCTAAAACACAGGAAGCCGAGTTAGTAGTTTCAAGAAACTTGTCTACTTCATTAGGACTATCAGGATCAAATTTAGCCCAGATAACCAAGTTAATGGAAATTTGATTAGCTGTTGAGGAACTTAGTGTCAAAGGACGTAATAATACTAGCTCTTAAGCTATGTGAAGCTTTGATTCACTTATTCCTTTAAACTGAGTGTTGATTCAATGCATCAGATTGGTTCCTTTGAATTATTCAATACTTCAGTGAACTTTTGGGCATATATATTCTCACTTTTTATCTAATTGACTATTTGAATTGGCAATTTGTCTACTCCTAAGAAACAGAATATGAAATTTGCAAAATAGGGAAACATTGCCCATTTCTATTCTGAACGGGTTTGCTGTTTTTAGCAAAGTATGTAATATTGCAGCCAGTACAAATGAAGAGGAGGGTTACCTCACTCCTTTAATTGAAAATACCTAGAGCTTCCAGGTTCCAAAGTTATATGTAAAACCTCTTTCCTCAAAAAGTATCTGCAGCAAATGTGATTGTGGAGGAGGGGTAAGAAGGAAAAATGTCTCTTCTGGCTTTCATTATTTTCTAAAAACACTGCCAATAAACGATTTCAGAAATCTGTTGCTTTATCGAGTGCCAAGTAAGATGAGCAAACTAAAATCTCAGGGGTTTATGCTGAAAACTTTTCCATGGTAAGTCTGAGGAGGAGCCTATATAGACCATTCTCCAGCATGATGAGTGTAGAATCTACCAGTGGGTAATCTCAGCCTTCCTGCTCAGTTGAGACTAAGTTAGAAATCTGCCACTCCTCCTTCTGGGTTGGACCTTGCCCAGTTTTTAACTTAGTCTTAGCTCAGCAGGACGCAAATTCCTTGGCTTCTCTGAATAGATTAGGTTAAATCTTTTTTCTTATTTAACTTACAATTTGATCATTGATTTGGCTTCTTAAATACAAATTTTAATTTTTTTTTTCAATTGAGAACTCAGTATATTTGACAGAGTCAGCTTGCAGCTGACTACAGCCTCGGCTCTAAAGAGCCTCGCAGGCTCCGTTTTCAAGCCCCTTCGTTTTCGTCGGAATCACCACATCGCTTCGATCCGCGATACAGCTGATTTGCCGACACGGGGGTTAGCCTTACCTGGCGATCCCCCGGGGAATCCCTGAGAGGCTGTTCAGCCTCAGCTGCGCTTTTCCCTCACACGGAGGCCTCTTACTCTCTGCCATCGGCCCAGATCGCAGCGGAGACTGCGCAGATCCTGGAGAAGCAGCAAGTGCCATCCCTTTTGCCTCAGGGCGTCGGAAAAAGCCCCGAACAACTGGTTTAGCTCGGGGGGGGGGGGTTGTGAGGGCTGGGAAGGCCCACACATCCATCTAGCAGCCGTTAATTTTGGCGCAAATGCCATTTTGGACATTGAACAAGGTGTGGCCGCCATTTTGGAATCCTCCTCACTGCCGTCTGCCTCCAAACTCTAAACCAGTCAAAGGCCTTGTTTGTCTAGGCCTTCCAACTTTCTCCTGCCATAACAGGCACAGACCGGGGGGCATACTTAAGTTTCTGCCTTGATACAGGCCTCTCGCTCAAAATCAGTGAGGCTATAACCACTTTGAGGCCATCACAGCCTCAGTTCTCAGATTAACTGACAGATCTTGGATTCTGAACAGAACTACAGACCCTCTCAAATGCAGATTTAGGAACCTGCGAAGTCCCCAACTTCATTGCTATTAATACTATCATAGTTAATAATAGTGAATTATTGTTATTATCATCATATTATTGACACTACTGTTACTATTATTGTCACTAACAGTCATTTATAAGAGGGGGAATTTTTGGTCAGACCCCACCTGTCCCATTTAGCCGGTGTGGCAGCTAAATGAGCCTCAGTGACTTACTGTCCATTAGCCTCATTAAATAGATTAGACAAAGAATCGACTCCACAGAAAGGCTGATGAAACTACTTTTATTGAGAGGTGCTATAATAATATAATAACAGAAGTCTAATTGTGCTATCCCATCTCCCATTCTTATAATCATTGAATTTGGGAGATGTTAACATTACACATTTTTTTTGCTTATTATAGACTTAAAATACGTTTCTCTCTCTCATTGTTTTGATAAAAGATTTTGCCTTTGCAAGGGCTACCTTGCTTATTCTGTACCTTGTCAGGTTCCTCTCTTCAGGATACTTTGCCCTTTGTCTGCTCGAGCAATAACTACTTAGTGTTAGTTCTGATATGTTAATATTAATAGTAATGAAGCTTTTTAAAATTTTACTCAGTAGGTTTTAGTTTACCCATACCCAAATCTTGTTTCCTCATTTTAAATGTTATCTTGACTGATCTAGATAATTGATTGATCTGTCTTCCACTTTTTAAATTGTAATATTATTGCTATTTTATGTAAAAAAAAAAGCTTTGTGAAGTCACCATGCAGATTTGTAAATAGAAAGGTCTTAAGTATTCATATTAAGCATGGTTATACAAGCTTTTTGAGCCATTTGGAAGAAATCCTGAGACCTTGAGTGCTAGTCCTGTCTTGGGCACAAAGCCAACTGGATGACCTTGGGTCAGTCTCTTTACCTCTCAGCCTTAGGAAGGAGGCAATAGCAAACCACTTGTCAAAAACTTTGCCAAGAAAATTACAGGGATTTGTCTGGGCAGATATGATTGAATGGAATTTTTTAAAAAATGCAAGCATTAATCTAATAGTAAAACTTTTAATGTGTAACTTGAGATAGATCAATGTTTGTAAAGTCTGATTTTATATAAACACAGACTCTTTTTTTCCCCTAAGTATAGGATTTATTTGTCTCCCTAAGTAATAATAGCATTTAGAAGACTCAACAATATGCCACTTTCTGTCATTTCAAAATGGATTCTAAATGTCTAATACTTCTAATGTACATTAGATACTTCTGAATTCCATTATATTTGCTTGTCTTGCTCTTGCCTAAAAGCCTGCAAAGTATTTTAGCATATGTCCCATCCTACAATGTCATTAGAGTTCTCATCCTGTGCATTCCTTAATCCAAGACTGAGGAAGTCTGATGTAGGAAAACCACAAAACTAAAAAGTAATACTGTAGCCCCTGGAAGTCACAGCCAACCCAGCAGTGTGGCACAAAGCCCTGGGGACCTCAGCCACTCCAGCCATCTTGCGCTCACAGTCTCTTGCCACCCTGCAATTGTCACTGCAACTGACCTTCAGTCTTCTTGCTCCGATTGCTGACAAGGTTTACCTATCCTAGCACTCCAGGGTGCAGCTGCTGGCCACGCAAGGCCATCTTCTTCAAGTCTTGCAAGGAAATCACCGTGTGTGACCTTGGGAAGAAAGCCTCGGAGAGCCAGCAGTTGCCTTGTGAAAGACCGTTCTGGTCAGATACAGTGTTGGGAGCTGCAGAGTACAGGAAGCCAAAATGGCACAGATGGAGGGCTGAGATATGTGCGAAGGGGGAGTTGTATTGCTCTTGTGGCTGCAAGTTCAAGGTACGCTGTCAAACAAATTTTGATCACATGACAATAGGGGCACTGCAATGACTGCAACTTTGTAAACCAGTTGCAAGTTCTTTTGTTTGGCATCACTGTAATTTCGAATAGTCACCGAATAAATAGTTGTAAGTTGAGAATTACCTGTATAAAAATATGGTGGCAAACTGCCACATCATAGAGCTATAATTTCCCAATTCTTTTCAAAAGGAAAGCAAGAGGAAAAAAATGTTTTAGTCTTTCAATACTTCCCAAAGCCTCTTACTGAAGTCTGCAGAGTGATGTCTCCCAGAGCAGTCCTTGGTCTTTGGCTGCCCAGATGATGCCTACTAAGTACCATGCTTTATGAAAGTGCAGGGCTCTGCCATAAGCAACAGCTTAGTACAGTGCAGAGGGATTCATGTGAAAAAGATGTTCATGATTTTATAACTAAATATGTCTATTTTGAAACAGTATGTCTGTTTTCTGTTTTTTTTTTTTTTAACAACATAACTAAAGCTTCTTTCAGACCATGTGGTGATTCAGTAAGACACTGTTTCAGTGTTTAGCAAGTAAGGATTGCCCCACAGCTCTCCCAACATTTTCTTTCATCCTCTGTGGTTGAACAATATGCCAACCCTCAAATTAAGCTAAGTTTCCACTGGAGTTTGAAGAAATACTGACAATTATTGATTTACTCCTTTAGACTATAACTCCTGTATGTATCAACCACCCTCTAAATAGAGGTTAAAAAAAATTAACTTCTCCCTCATTTCAATCTACAAGTATCTTGTGTACTTATTGTTCCTTTCTTTTATAGCCTAAAGCAGGATTAGGCAACCCTTTTTGGCTACTGGAGACCTTTAGAATTTTAAAAACATCTGTGGGTACTCTAACAAATTGATTGCCTTGGGAACAAAAGCAGTTATAAAACACATATACCAAAGGCAAATTGGTCTCTGTGATTCTCTGTATCCCAGTTTAACTTTCTTTTTCACTGGGTTCATTGATATTTGCTTAGTCTTCTAAAAAGTCTTCTGGAGGCTTCTGGGAGGCCTGTATGATAACACTCAACCTTGAAATGGTTTACAAAAACTATAAAACATCCAAAAATTAAAGTAAAATACAACGACAACAAAAAATAACAAAATAAAATGAATTCATTATATAAACTTTCTTTTAAATTTATATGAAACTAGAGGAAGCGTGTCAGGAATCCATTTGAATATTTTCTAATAAATAAAATAAAAATAAAATCAGATGGAGCCCTGTAAATACCGGGGAGGCATCTGTAGATATTGTATTCCCTGTTACATAAAATTCAAGATCAGAATTGGGTAATACTTTTTTATGTTGTTAGATTTTATCCCATTCTTTTTTTATGAACAACTCAAGGTGATGAGCTTACCTAATACTCCTTCCTCTTATTTTCCCTGTAACAATCCTGAGGTGAATTAGGCTGATAGTGACTGTCCAGTCACTCAGCTGGTTTTTCATGCCTAAAACAGAACTCAAATTCACAATCCTCTGAATTAGAGTAACACTTTATTCAAGTCCCTTTCTCCCCTGATACAGAATTTGTACATAAAACCTTTGAAGTAAAAGTACTAACTAAAGAACTTGCTGATGTATTAGACTCGCCTTGCATAGCCATGTAATTGCTATTATATTAATTTATGCAGTTACACTGTTGTGAAATGTTTCTCAAATTCTTTGGGTAAATTATAATTTTTCAAAGAAAAAAAGCTATATTGTACGTGTGGAGGTAAGCATAGACTAGTCTAAAATTTTAGTGCAATGTAATGATTTTTTATTTGATCATTGTTAATATTTGATCAATGTTAGCCCATTTGCAGGGTTGTCATATAATATTTTTTGGGGTTTTTACCTAGGCCCTGCTGGAGATAGTGTTTGGGTCAAAAGTAGTCATAACAGGTGATGGGTTCATCCCCGGAGAAAGAAGTGTCATAATCATGAATCATCGAACACGAATGGATTGGATGTTTTTATGGAGTTGCTTGCTGAGATATAGCTACCTCCGACTTGAAAAAATCTGCCTCAAATCTAGTCTCAAAGGCATTCCGGGATTTGGTAGGTTATTGATTGATTTTCTAAATAATATTCTAAAATATATTATTTTAGATCTTCTATTTTGTTAACACTATTTTTATATTTTAACTATATCATTTGATCTTTGATGTAAATTCACTAGAAATAAATTACTCAGAGCATGTACAATATTATAAGGACATAACCTTGATTGAGAGCTCTCTGGACTTGTGGCCATTTGAGCCCATACCCATGTGAGGAGCTCACAAACAGGGCATAAGACAGCCACTTTCTCACCACTTGACATTCACTAACTTGTCAAAATAAGGAAAAAGAGAACCTTTGTCTTTACCCATGAGAGTTGTTACAATCTTTGCCGCTGAAGTAAGCATTCATAATAAATCAGTGATGCATAGAAATAAACTATGTGCTAGTTTAATAACTCCACATATTTCTTCAACCATGCTTTCTTTCTTTCTTTCTTTCTTTCTTTCTTTCTTTCTTTCTTTCTTTCTTTCTTTCTTTCTTTCTTTCCACAGCAACACAAACTGGCAAAATGTGTATGGTGTTGAAGTGAGTGGCTATTTAGAACTGTCTGTATTCTTGCTTTTGCTTTTAGTTGTATCTCAATGGAGTTGGCCAGTTTTGGCATACATAATAATAATAATGATAAAGTTGGAAGGGACCTTGGAGGTCATCTAGTCCAACCCCCTGATTAGGCAGGAAACCCTAAACCATTTTGGAAAAATGGCTGTCCAGTTTCTTCTTAAAAACGTCTTACTTGGCTTGTACAGGATGGTACTCTATTTTCTACAGATATAAATAAATACCTAATAGAAAACCAGCAAGTAATATTATATAAGTAATCTGAAAAAAACTTGAAATAATGTATATATTGAGAAAACAATTTAAAAGAGTGAAGCTTTCAAATGCAAGACTGTCACAGTCCTACAAGGTCTACTACTCTTTAAGAGCCTTTCACTATACATTTTTTTTGGATTAATAAAGTCCTTATATTTTTCCTTTGCATATAGAACTTCATAGTATGAAGTTACCGTGGCACAGATATTGAATTGTTTATTTTATTTATTAAATAAATTTCTAGCCCACCACAATTCAACAAAGATTCTTGGTGGCTTACATAGAGTAAAATAATACACTTAAAATATTCAGGCAGTAACAATAAACAGCATGAGCAAAATCACAATAATATCACAAAAATAGGAAAAGTTGGAGACATCGAGGAAAGTTCTTCCAAACAGCTCTTCCAAATTACTTAGTAGCTGAGTTGTGAAGAGTCATTGTGAGAAGACAGCCAAAGTTGCAAGGCCATCTGTATCCATCTCATGTACATCATGCCTAGCTTGTCCAACACACATATTCTTATCTTTTTAGAAGTTAATAAGTAGAGCTGCTTATTTTTAATAGGATTACATTGTCTTGGGGTTGTTGGATGGATTTTCAGAAAACTAGCTGCTGTTTGTTGAAGGAAAGATAGTACAATGACTGTGGTGCCCAAGGAAAAGAAGCCAAAGCATTCCTGGTTGACTAAAGATGTGACAGTAGTGTGTCCAATGACAATGTAATGGGTTATGGTAGCTTTAGTGTGAAAACTGTTGATGGTGACATGGGAGCAAATCAGGCTGCCCCTTTCTAAAAATCCATAGCAGTAGCAGAGATAGCACCTCCAACAGGGTCACCAGCAGACTCAAAATGCTGTCAAAGGGAAGAGGCAAGAACGTACCCAGCAACAGAACATATACCTGAAAGCTAAAGAATTCACCTGTTGAGGGACTAGATAAATAAATAAGGCTAATTAAGGGAGGAAAAGGGTAAAAGGTGAATTGAACATAGAAAGAAACACGGAAAAAAGATAAAGCAATTTGGAATGTGAGAGTAGTTTTGAAATACATGTTTATTAGGATAGAATAGATATGAAGATGGATTGTGCAATAAAATCCTTGTAAACAGGAGTCCTGTTCAAAGACTGAAGCAACACAATTTATTTTGCAACAGTCCATTTATAATTCAAGTGATTTCCCAACCAGGAATTGCCTTGCATTTTGCTTGCATTTGTCACTATGCTTGTACTTACCATCATATCCATAGTTGCTTAGAGGGAGGTCTATTGTTATACAGTGCAAACTAATATCTGAATAAGGTCAAAGGTTTGTGTGTATGTGTGTGTGAGTGTCTGCCCCATGTCCTTTAAACCTTGTATTAATAGCTTGTGGTTTGCTTTGTGGATTGTAGGTGATGACCCTTCTAAGTGAGAGTCTGATCAACAGTGTCATATGATGTCTTCCAGCAATTCTATCAGGAGCTGTCATACTTAGTTACTTAGAGTTATTTATACTGTGAATTAGCTTTGAGTCCATATGCTGGAAAATGTTCTTTATAATATATTTTTTACTGAATTGTTTATACCAGAAATATGGACACCAAAATCTTTCTTTGCAATATGAATTTTAACACTGAACTAGATAATGTGTTCAATGGAACAAAATCATTTAAATCACAACTTTGCTTTAAGGATTTAAATAAAGTTACTTCTGGCTTCCCTCTTGGTTGTTACAATCGAGCATTGAAGCTTGGCCTAGAACTGATTGCACTTCCACTTCCCCCAAAATAATGTGTGTGTGTATGTGTGTGTGTGCAATTTTTGTTTTTCAGAAATATTCATGAAACAAGCTTGCTTTGCCTCATCAATACTATGATGCTACAAAAACTGATCTATAGACCAGTCTCTATGCTTTATAAAAGGGATACCCAACCCTTGGTCTGCAGCCCAGTGCCAGGCCACGGCCCATTCGGAACTGGGCCAGGCAAGCAGCGGGTGATCGTGTGAAGCTGCGCACATGCATACACAAAACTATCCCCTCTCCTCCCCCGCCAACATCAGTTCCACAGAACTGGAAAGGTTGGGGACTGCTGCTTTATAACTCAGAATAAGATGTTACCTATAGTTTATAGCAGTGATGGCGAACCTTTTAGAGACTGAGTGCCCAAACTGCAACCCAAAACCCACTTACTCATTGTTGGGTGCCGGGTGAATGTGGCCCATTGGCTGGGTGTGGCCAATTGGTGTGTGGCCCATTGGGGGGCGTGGCTGCAGTGGTAACGGCAGACTGGGTGGGACTAAAAAGTTCAAACAATTCCAACTTTGCAAGATCTTTTTTTTCCCCGCGAGAAGTTGAAATTGATTGATTGATTGAACCTTTTTTTGGGGGGGGGACATGATAGTGGAGGTCTAAAGCTAAAAGGTTTTATAAAACCCAGCTGAAGGCCTAGGACTGGGATGACAGCACACGTGCCCACAGAGAGGGCTCTGAGTGCCGTCTCTGGCACTCGTGCCATAGGTTCACCACCACTGGTTTATAGTATGCATATAATTTTGTTGAATTATTTAACTGTAGGCAAATATCAATTATCTGTCTGTTTACAATAAAAAACAATTGAAATTTGATAAACCACAAGATCATCTTCTCCTGATCTTTGGATGCCTGGCTGTGTTGGGGTTATGAGAATTCCCCAGAATTTTAGAAGTTGTAGTACCAATACTTCTTGAGGGTGCCAGATTGGGAAAACACTTCACTCAGTTATTAGTAACAAGAGAAAGCTTCTAATGGTTCATGGTAAATAATGCAGAAATCTAATAGAAAATAGAATTCAGAAGGGGTTAAAATGGTTCTGCTATTTTATTTTTTTGCCATTTTAAAAACAATAATTAAAATTATATATGGTGTGATAGTTCTGTACTTAGTATCTAATTTTCTAATGTGCTTAGACTCATGCATATTTCATAATATTGAAGTATTTAATGTTTAAACTTAGTTCAGAAGGAAAATAGAAGTAATGGTATGCATTTTTTGCAAACTTTGTCAGTTTGGTTAGACATCTGTTTCCTCTTAAAAATCATCCCTGAGGAATGAAATGTAAAATTTATTCCAGTAGACATATAAGTTTCTAATTATCCCTTAACATCAGCAGAATGGGAAAGGGAGATCGTTTTTTCCTGCACCCTCTTCAAAATCTCCTTAAAAATAGATTATGAAATATTTTCTTAAAATAATTTATAGGAAGAAATTTCTATACTTTGAGATCAAGCCATTGTTGGTGCAACATTTCATTGTATGAATGCAGATTTGATTTTAAAAAGAAACAGTTAACATGAGTCTTGCTTTTCCACAAGTTTTAGCAAAATATCTCAAAATCTTTAGGCTTTTAACATAATCATAGACACTGTGATATATTTTTTACTAAGAAATATGTTGAGTTTTTATATTAAAGCATCTTTGTATACTTGGGGAATCTAAATGATGTTCAGGGACCAGCCAAATAAATAATCAATTCAGTGTTTAAGAAATTCTTCACATTTGTTTTAGGCTGGGCCATGCAGGTTGCTGCCTTCATCTTCATTCAGAGGAAATGGGAAGAAGACAAACATCATTTTGGAAATATGCTGGATTATTTTTGTGATATTCATGAGCCACTACAACTTCTTATCTTTCCTGAAGGAACTGATCTCACAGGTACCTCAATGTTACTTAATTTAATGCTGCACAATGCATTTAAGACATTTGCTGGAAATACTATGTAAGTAGGTTGAATTACAGTATACCATATCAGAAAAGGATTTTACCATTAAATCCAGAACATTAAATAGTTATTTGTAAACACTTCTTAAGGCATGGGTGTCCAACCTGTTGGCTTGCATGGGTTGCACCAAGTGAAGAGGAATTGCCTTGGGCCGCATATAAAATATATAACATAATTAATGTGATGTTGATATTTCTAAAAATAAGACTATAGAATTGATGTGAATTGTGAAAGAGTTTTGGACAGAATTTTAAAAATGCACATCCAGAATTTATTTATTTGTTTTAATAATAGAATTCAGCACAGAAGAGTGGCGTGGTGGCTGAGTGGTGAAGATGCTCGCCTCCCACTCAGAAGACTGAGAGTTCAATCCTAGGTAGTGGCAGTTCTTTCTTGGGGTGCAAAGAGAACATACCTGCTGCAAACTCCATGTAGGCATCAAGAAGGGCATCTGGCCAGTAAACACTCAAATCCCTTTAGCCGCCCTGACTGTACCCCGAATTAAGGGATTACAGGATCATTAAAAGAAAAACAATTCAGCACAGAAGTGAATAAAGGTTGAAAAGACAATGTGTTAGTGTCAGGCTTTCAAAAAATACTGAAATTCTAATTAAATGCAAATTAACATGGCAGTCTTGGATTTTTTTAAAAAAAAATGCAGTAATTTTGTTTGTATTTTCTATTCAACTATAGCAGCATTTCTTTATATATCAAGTCAAGCCATTGATGTCCAGAATTAATCAAGATCTTCAGTATTGCCAAAATGTTATTGGCCAGGTTACTAGTTAGTTGAAGATCTTTACTTTTATTATATGTCTGAGAGTTAAATCATTCTTAGAATGTGTTAACCAGCAAAGCAATGCTATATAATATTAGGGCAGTGGTTCTCAACCTGTGGGTCGGGACCCCATTTGGGGTTGTACGACCATTTCATGGGGGTCGCCAAACAACGCAGTCCGCCATATTTTTTTCCCCTTTTCCTTAGCTGTGCTACTCCCTTTTATTCTATTGGCTTTTGAAAGCCAATAGAATAGACTCTCTTGAATAGAGTCTAATTCTATTGGCTTTCAAAAGCCAATAGGAATTGTCCAGGCTGTCTCTGCCCTGCTGAGCCTGCCAAAAGTCCCATTCTGCAAACGGTGCTGCACCAGTTGAGTAGTCCTCGACTTACGACTGGTTGGGGGTCGCGGCATTAAAAAGGTTGAGAACCACTGTATTAGGGAGTGGTTCTTTCACATCTCTGTGCTTAGAAATGACTAGAATAATTAAGTAAAGTTAAATGTTTACCCTTTGTTTGTGTTAAATAAATTGTGAAAAATATTTTTGTAAATCTGATAATAGAATTAGTACAATATTTATCATGAGGCATATCTAGGATCTTTTAGCATGATTTCATATATGCTAAGTTGTTTTATCTATAATTTTTAGGTATTATAGATTTAATTTAATATGTTTAAAGTGAAAAAATATGTAATGTAACATTTTATCCAGCTTTTAATTTTTTTGTGTTATTTTATTAGTTTTTAAGGCATTATTAGTTGTTTTTCAGACTTTTATGGATGGTAATAATATTATTCCATTTAAGTATAGGAGAAGAAAAATGAAACTTGTTTTAAAGAGTCCTATTGTTTGATTTGGTTTGGTTTTTAATGTTGATATATTATATATAGAAGATTGTACTTCCTCACAAGTCCTGACATGTATCATTGCTCTTTGTTACTGCTCTTTCTCATTATATTATTCTCTCTGGATGCATAATGTCCCAAACATTTCCTGTTCATGAAAAAGCATACTAACAAATTTTACTCTTTGAACTTAACTTAGTGCTTTCATTCCTCCTGTTGGATTCGGAAAAGAAAACCTGGTAGGCTATTGGGAAGTTTGGGTGTTCTGTTAACACCCCCCCCCATGCTTATTGGCTAATGGATATTACTGGCTAAGTTTGCAAGGTTTTCTTATGCCATTTGTCTGAAATGGTATAGGGTTTCCTGCCTAAGCAGGAGGTTGGACTAGATGACCTCCAAGGTCCCTTTCAACTTTATTTATTTATTTGTTATTGTTATTATAGTATGGACTTCTGCTTGTTTTGGTTTGTTATCTATTTATTCTTAATTAAATGCAGAAATAATGTCTAATAAATATAACATTGGGGTCCTGGATCTGTAATCCTATAAAACTTACTAGATAGATTCTAGGTGTTGTTGCTGATTCAGACTTTGGGACTAGGTCCTGCAAATTTTGAAACCCTTTAGATTAGCCTTAGCCCAAGGCAATTGTGTTCTGCATTCTGAGAACTGGACTTTGAAAGTAAAGCTTGTCTATGTTTATGTAAGAAAGTGAAAAGTATTTTGTGATGATTTTTATTGAAATAAACACATTCTATTATACCTCTTTGATCCTTTATTCTAGTGATGTTCTCTGTAATACTGAAATTTAAGGCATTTTAATCATTGTTTTTCCTACTACTTTTCTCTGTAGATGAAACTAAAGCCCGCAGTGATACATTTGCTGAAAAAAATGGACTTCAGAAGTATGAATATGTCTTGCACCCAAGAACTACAGGCTTCACTTTTATAGTGGATCGTTTAAGAGATGGTAATGCATGTTCAGATGCATTTTTCTCTTTTCTTTACAAAATAATATATTTTAGATGAGAAATGTTGTTGATGGCTAATTACTTCGAACCATTGCCCTAAAATATCTTTTTAAAAGCTTTGTGTGTTCCAATAGATTTCCTTCCTTATTTACTCAGGGAAATTTTTTCCATGCTTAAAATAGGAAGTAATTTGATCACTTCCAATTATGTTGCCAGCATTGTGTCATATTGCTTCCATTTTCCATGTGAATTTTGCATTCTGAAGTAAGGAAAGACCTATATTAAGTTTGGAATTGAGGCAAAATATATTTTTATAGGTTTTACTACAGTTTTCTGCCCTGTCTGGCAACAATTAGATTATTATAAACAGTATTATCAGAATTATCCACAACATAATGTAAGCATTCAAACTCATTTATAGCCTCCTTGGTGAGATGAGCAATAAAAGCAACTTACAATAACTGTCCATCTTATATTTTCTAGATTGTGGGTTGGCAACTATGGGCTAGATCAGGCATATCAAACTGCCCGCCTGCGGGCCGGATGCGTCACGCCAAAACCGCGCCCACCCCATTGCTGGCAATGGGGGAAAAGTCACAATACGTCACGTGACGTCGTGAGTTTGACATGCCTGGGCTAGATGAAGATTGAATCATTTTTTGATGCTGCCCCAGAATGCTTTGTCCATTTTCCCATGAAGTTACAATATTCTGAGGGAAGGCATCAGTGTTTCTCTACTTCTGCTGGTAATGGGAAAAAGAGATATTCAACAATCACTAGGACATGGCGGGAAGCATCCTTACCAGTGCTAGCAAGAAACTAGTGATCTCAAAGAGAATTGAGAAACAGTAGAATCTTGCTAACTGGGAGGAAGATTCAAAGTTGAAACCTTTTTTTAGGTCAAGGACGGCATTCGAATTGATACAATTTCCCATGTGGTAAATGGTTTTCATGTTCTGTCATATTAAATATTGGGAGTCATGCTGTAGCTATTTAAAATGTGTTCAGTCTCTTCCAACTCTTTGCAATCCAGTGGACATCATTTCGCGATCATGTGTCAGTGACTCTTATTTGAGTTCTTAAAAGTTCATGCTTGCATGAGCTTTCAATAAAATATATAGATTTGTGCAAGTTTATTTAAAAAAAGTACAATGTAGGCATTATGTATTCTGTTAGCCTCTTTTCCAATGATCTTCAGTGTTTCTAAATGTTCTAAAACACTTCTCTAGTATCCACGTCTTCTTATTAAATGTTCAAAATATTTTACTATTTTGCTTCATTATAAGTGCTTAAAATGAGGAATCTTCATCTAGGATTGAATTATTTATTTTTCTTGCAGACTATTGGATTTTTTTAATCAATGTACTCCAGCATCACAGTTTAAAGATATCAGTTTGTTTTCATTCAGTTTTCAAAGCCATGTCTAGTTCTATCATAATTTTTCTCTCAGTTAAGAGGTGTTTTTTTTTTATTTCATTATTATAGTGGCTGTCCTTGCAAATTTAAGCCTAGGAAAATTAGCATCTTTACTACTGCAGGTTCTTCTCTGCTATTTACATTGGGATTTCCTGTTGACATAATCTTAAGCTTTTTTTTTTTTTTAACATACTGAATAGCAGGCTGGCTTTTTAATCTTTCACCTTCAGCAAAAAAATTCCTTAAGTCTTCACTTCTAGCCATCTAGCCATCTAGGTATTAGCAGAATATCTGAGATTGATGCTTCATCAAGTAAATTTAATTCCAGCAGTTATTTCTTCTAGTCCAGTGGTTCTCAACCTGTGGGTCGGGACTCCATTTGGGGTCGAATGACCATTTCACGGGGGTCGCCAAACAAGGCTGTCCGCCATTTTTTCCCTCTTTTCTTTGGCCACGCCCCTGGCACCCAGTGATGTATAACTGGTTGGGGGTCACCACAACATGGGGAACTGTATTATGGGGTCGCGGCATTAGAAAGGTTGAGAACCACTGTTCTAGTCCATCATTTTCCCTGCTGCATTCTGCCTGTAAATTAAGTAAAGTGAGTGACACAGTGCATGAAATCTTAATATATATGTTTCCCTCTTTTGACTTGTTTAAATGATATGTATACAATTCCAATCATTCTTTCTTGGTCATCACACAAATTCTTCAATAGGCAGATAGGTAGGAAGTGTTTAAATGTAATTCTACCTACCTACCTACCTACCTACCTACCTACCTATCTATCTAAATGTGGATGCTGCCTGACTCTGAACTCTGGATGGATTTCAATGTAATAAAACAATAGAAAACAAAACAAAAACAGAGCCAAAATACCTCCAGCCACCCTAACCCAAGGCAAACACCTTACTGTGTTTAGAGTCAAAAGTATCAGTATAATTAATGCAGCAAAAATGTATGAGTTTTGGAACTTGACTTACTTTTCCATTATTCGTCATATGTTAGCAATGAGATCATGAATGCATTTCCTCTTCTGAATCAGAGCCATTGTAGGAAGGTAGTTGATTCATATTTTCTTTCCTCAAAGTGTCTTGGGTACATTTTTATTACATGAAGTTTATTAAGGTACCTGCTGCATGCAAGACAGTACAACTAATCAAGTCTTTTGTTTACATATATTAATATCCTCTCTTTTCTGAAATGTTTGAAATAGTTAAAATTCTGGATAATATCTTACATGGCATAAAGTTCCATTTGTTTCAGTGGAATAATTTCGGTTTATTTATTAAAGAATATGTCTGCACTGGATCTTCTCTATCAAAGCTATGTGAAAGAATGAATATGTAGTTTACTATAGCTCTGGGAAATGGAAAAGTTTCAGTGGAGACAGATTTCCATGTATTAGCTTCTGCTATTTCAAAAAGGAAAATGAATGGAAAATCAGTAAAGCAGATGTTGGAATGGTACTGATTGAATAGGAAATTTTAATTTTTAGGTTATTATCATGAAACGTTTAGTATCATGGCAGATCTCTTTAAAAAGATCCCATGCACAAGAATGATAACCTTAAATGTCTCATGCTTTTCTGTGAATAATGTTTAGCTCATGACAGTTTTCCCATCCTCAGGCTGATATCCATTCTCTTCAAGGATATGTGCATTATGTTACTCCAAAACTAGTTCTGTGGAGAAGAGGGAAAATGTCATGTGGGGAGAAATAACTATCTCTAAATGGACAGATAGTGTACAAGGAAATGAAGGTTATAACTTAGTATGCCTATGGAGAGTATTCTAGGATGGGGAAGTGACCTTTCAGTATTCTAAAAGACCAAATAGGGAAGTGCTTTTTAACATGCAACAAAAAAGTAAAGTTGAAAGGTATAAGGAAAAACTGTACCTTCATTCAGTGAGAAATGGGCTATTTGCACTATGCCTATTAATGATAATGCTGATATCTCCTTCTGCAGATAGCTCCAATAATGATAGTTGAATAAATATTTATTTTTATCTGTTTGTCTCTACTAACTAGATGTGGCATCATTATTTCATAATGTCATGAGAAGTTTAATTCTTTTTTAAAAAAAAACTTTGCAAAAATGAATTTTATTTGTCAAGAGCTATATTTAATTTGTATTATAGTCTGTGTATGGATGAATTATCTATTGTGCTAGAAATGTCTCTGTTACATGAACCATTAAAACGCTGAAGAAGTATTTAATATGAGAATCAGTTTGTGGAAGAATATATTTTTTTATACCATAGGTTAGCAAAAACCTAATGTTCCCTAAGTTAAAATATATTTTACTTCCTAATGCTTAATCTACAGGTAGTCTTCCATTTACAACTGCAATTGGGACTTGTGTTCCTTACTTTATCACACTGTCTCTTTGTTCAGGCTGAAAATCCTGCTTGTCTCTGGGGGCTGGTTGAAAGAACTGCCTGCCAAAGAATTTCAACTCCATTTCATGCTTGGATGTTGGCAGTCCAAGCAGATTCAGCAAATCCAAACAATTTTGACATTCCAAGCAGGCATGATGCTGAAACACTTTGACTTGATTTTTTTGCAATCAAAGCAGCACAGAGCTAAAATTCTCAGCACACAGCTCTTTTACTTTGGGACCTGCTATAAGAGTTGCCTGCCAAAGATTTCAGCTCATGCTTACTTGGATTGCCAAAATCCAAGCAGACACAGAGCTGAAATTCTTTGACAGCCAGTCTCCAGAGATGAGAGGGAATGCTCTTGGCAAGTAGCAGAAACTTGTAGCTTTCCCTGCCAGTTTCCCCATTGTCTTTGAGGAACCCAGCAAAGAAGGTTGCAAATAATGATCATAAGGTACTTGGCAACTGGTTGTCAATAACAGTTTGCCAATAACCCGGATCATGACCATGTGACATAGGGTGGTGGTGCTATGTTTTGCAACTATCAAAAGAGAGACCATTATGAATTCTGAGACCATTATGAAGACCATTATGAATTCAAACTATTGTTAAGCAAATAGTCACAAGTCGAGGATTACCTGTACTCGGATTCTGTGATGGAATGTGCACCTTGAGGAGCAGTGAGGAAGAGTTTTGGCAATACTCTTGCTTTCCAGAGAGAAGCCTGGATTAAGTGACTGCTGTTCCAGGTGTGTGAGGAAGAAGGGAAGAGGTTCAGAGTAGCCACATCCTACAATCTCTAAATATATATCTAGTGATTAGAAAATTCTAGTTTTAGTTTGTCAAGATTGTGTCCATTCAGTAAAAGCAAATAAAGGATTGAACTCAGTTAGATTTCTCTATATCCTCTCTGGACTTGGGCCTGACAGTTTCTCCTCACATCCAAAATTTCAGAATTTATAAATGTTGATTTTTAGCAATCTAAATTCAGCTTACACTGCTGTGTTTTTGCTTCCATGTAGGTGTTGGTCCAGTTTATATAATTTTTTCAATGGATTCCTGAGGCTGTTTTTACTTTTATGCTTCTAGAGTTTTATTTTGTTTGTGACATTTATTTTAGTTTAATTTTTTATTTTAACCTAACATACTTGCTATTTATATTAGTCGTTACTTACCAGATTCTAGAGATTTGTTTTTAGGTG